CAAGCACTTTAGCTCATAATGAAATGTAACAAAATGGAAAATGTATAACAAACGATTACCTTGCGTGTCCTTCTACAGCTTGTCTGCAAACTATGGACGCATTCAGAGCGCATGAGAACAGCGCGCGCTTACAACTGAAAATAATTATCATACTTGACCTGGCAACACTATTTTATGATTAGCTGATAGGTTGCTAGGTCAAGACAGTTGTATGCCCTTAGAGCAGCTATTGGCCTGCGCATCCTCTCGCGAACTTTATCGCTTCTCGGCGTGTGAATTATCAGGTATGGTGTGTGAAATTGGGTACGTTCGACTTGGGCTGTCTGCAGCTGATGTGATATTGAGCGAGATCTGCCTGCAGCTGCAGGGGTGGAATATAAAGTGACTGCAGTCAAATCGGATAACTTCTTGTCATAGTGTGCGAGACCCGACTGCAATGGCCGCACTGCCAAAAGGGTGCAGATAAAAGCTATACAAATATCACCGCATGCACGTACATTACTTCTTTTACAATAACCAACTCCTGATCCAAACTTAGCAGTGAAAAAATAAACTACTGCGTATGGTGGCTCTGTTTAAGAAGATAGCTGTCAGGAAAACGATCAAATACAATTATTTCAAGGATTCAGACTAAAATCGGACGCCCACCTAACGTTGTGAATGAAATATTACTGGGCGGACCAAAATCGGACGTCCACCTAACGTTGTGAATGAAACATTACCTGGCGGACCAAAATTGGACGGCCAAAAATGTCACGGTGACGTCGCTTGTTAGCTGGGTTGAGATTAAATTATGAATCAAGTAACTTTTTCATAACTTCTTAATATAATTTTGTCATTTAAAATCACATTTTCTCACTTATTTGGAAAACGTCACTGTTGACATGATTGTAAAATGTTTAATAGGCCTACGTCCCTTTTTTTTCAGAATGCGGTCAAACCATCCACACATAACCACCAACCGCCACTACGCTTTATTTACATTTTAAAAACTGAACATATAACGGTGGTATTTTATATTTAAGCAACTGTGACGGGGAAACGTGTTTTCTGTTTTACCAATGCATCGTGATGAGGTTATTTAGGGTGATACGTGCATGGGCACTGGTACACCAAATCCAATCCACCGTCCTCTCGTGGGATAAACGGGATATAGATTGTGCATTGGACCATGGTGGGGCATTCAGCCAAAAGGGAGTTACACGCAAATGCCACCAGCATGGGCGTAAATCTCGGGGGGGACGGAGGAGACATGTCCCACCCTAATCGCACTATCTATTGTGAAAAATATACGTACTGTATGTATACCTAAAATAATTCGTTCTGTAAGTAGGAAAAAAAACAAACGCAAAAAATGTATTTAGAAACAGTTCCCCCTCCCCTTCGTCACAGTGGTTTGGCCAACTGCCTGCTTTCCCAGTTCATCTCACCTACTCTACACACACGAATCAGGTGTGTGGCTGCGGCTCAATTAATGTTGAACTGCAGTAAGTAGGTACGTATTTTATTCACTTTAAACAAAGCGATTCTCTTTAATGTAGTTGATGCAGACTCATTCATAAATTAGTTGCGGTAAAAATGCTGATTACCGATGTAATTTTCCATGAATCTGCTATATTAGCGATTAAAATATTACTTATCTAGTTAATGTTAGCTTGTTTACAATAGCTTGTTGCATAGTGCACTGCAACTAACACGCCAAAGCCGTTTCCCATGCATTGTTTTATTTGTGACGACTTGGCATAATGTTAACTTAACATTAACGGCCACAATTAGCATATTGTTTAGCTGTACATTTACTAAATGAGCACTGTGCTACGTCCGAACTGACCCCACTGTATTTTTGTATAATCAATTTCTATTATGTATTTAAACAGTCGTTTAAATTTTATTGTATGTTGATGGCTTGACTGTAAACAACAAACAATGCAATAAATAGTTTTGAAGAAAAATCTGCTTTGTCATTGAACCTGAGAAAAACTTTGAAAATAACCATAATGACGCAGTCTCCGTGCTACAATAATAATGATAGAAGCAAAGTTTTTCATTGTGGGGACATATCTTTATAAGTACAATTTGATTGTATTATTTGTGTCCCCTTCAAAAATTGCTCATGAGAAAATTTATATTTATTGTCCCCCCCTACTGTTAAATGAAATTTACGCCATTGGCCACCACCCGCAATGCATAACCTATCTGTTGCCTGTCAGGCGTTTATACTCACCATAAAGTCTTCAACATTTTGTTCCTGCAAGTTTTTCCCAGTCCCGGATGCACGGAGTGCCAAAAGAAAAGCTAACAAAGGGTAACTCCCCTCCGGCCATGCCTCCGTGGGCTGCAGCAATCTCCGCTTGGACCACAATGCTCACGTTGACCGTGATATAGGGCATTGAATGGTGTCGATTGCCGACATAAAATGTTCACAGGCATTAATTGTTATTTTAGGAAAATATCTCAGCCTTATGTTCTATATATTCGGGGATTTGCACCTTTTAAATGACTAGCGACGCCGTCTATCTGCCGGTCGTTAGCCGCAAGTTATCCGTGTATTCTGTATTGGATCCGTGTATTCAGATTGGCTACAATCGCCGAAAACATTGGTGGAGTTTTTTTAATCTCTGCCGCTGTGTTTATGAGACACAGCCTTACTAAAACACGACGAAATCTGCTATTACTAAAGACCCCAGCGTGCCAGGTCGTCCATTATTAATGCAGGGCCTGTTTGAAATGCACTGCTGACCATTAGGAAACGTCTACGAGATCCTTTAATAAGATGCTGCCTTTGATGCCTCGTTACCAAGCGAGAGGGACGCTCAGAGCACGGCTTTTGAATATCACAGCTTCACGTCTATAGTAATTAGGTAAATTAGCTCTGAGCTGAATTAGAAAGCAACGGCCCTCTGTCTGGAAGGAGAAAGTATTTCAGTCATATGCAACTTGCTAGTTTGTAAAATATGTCTTAGTAATACTGACCCAGAAAAACGTTTTATTGTGGGGTTCCTTATTATTTTTTACCAATTGCTTCCGTTTGTGGTCAAATATTCATGTAATGCTGCAAATTACCCCATTTAGTAATGAGGAGAATTTTACTATGCGTTGCCATTTCCAATTACTTTAGTGTTCCGGCTAAAATGATTAATCCACAGTATTGTTGTAATGTAATTATAATGTTACACATGGCTGCCACTGTAATGTGCGTTTAGCAGTAAAACTGTTAACAGCATGTTTTATTCATTTCAGTGAGAGTGAGCGGAGACAGGATGACATTTAATTAGCGAGACGGCTTATTTTTTGTGGAATATCTCCCACACTGTGGCTTCTGAGGTTTCAGCGAGCGACGATCGCGCTGCTGCATAATTGCCGCCTTTGCAGATCTGATAGGCTGTTCAATTTCATCTTTCAGGTTAGATTTTTTAAGCCTCTTAGCGAATGTTTTTATACAAAGCATTCACGTATCACTTAAACATTTTTACGGAAACAACTCATATTTTGTTGTTACAGAAACAATTCAGGCTGAATGTTTTGTGCAGTGGCGGGCGTTCATATTATTTGAAACTGCTTTTTAATTTTTTCGAATAGTTGCTTTTAACATCCGTCATTTTTGTAGTTTTGGCATTAGGATCAGTCCATCTCTTCACCAAATTTTTTCCATAGCACATTCATCCCTCCTTCCCCTTCACTTCCTGTGAATCTTCCTTTTACTGACATTTATCTGTTGTTTAAAACAAGGACTGACATATGCAGATGCTCCCAGGATTTTGATGGGGTCTGAGGTGGATAGATCAGGCCCAGAAAGTAAAAATCCAGACCAAGATTTTGTTTCAACCAAGCAGTTGAGGATAAAGAGTGACACTCACAGAGTATGCAACTTATTGGAACAGAATCTTAGTCTGGATTTTTACTTTCCGGTCCTGAACTATCCACCACTAAATGGGGTTACATTCTGATAAACTTATCGCAAGCCGAAAGCAGTGTGAGATGAATAGAATTGGAATAGGCCAATGCATCATTAAGTCGAAATATTGTAAAACATAGCATTGTAACCCGGGGAGAGTCTGTATTTAAAATTTTATCAGTTTCACTCATCACAGCATTCATACTAGTCACTAAGCACTTCCTAGGGTATTTTGTTATTAACAAAGAGGGAGTCTCCTTAATCGAAGCACTTCAACACACAGCTGCTTTAATATCACCCCTGTCTTTCTGAAACACAAAGGTTTCCTGTCCCATTTTCAATACTCACTCAGAGATTTTTAATAAATAAATAAATAAATCATCTAATTTTGACACACTTTAAATATTCAAATATGCCACAAATATATCAGGTGCCACAAATATATATGACAGAAACAGCTGTAAGCCCTGCAGTAAACACAAAGGTCAGATATCTTCATATTGAAATATAGAACACTGTATGCACAGCTTATGTAACCAGTGTCATTGACAGATACATTAAATGGATTTAGCCACTTAACCACTTTTAATTTGGTGTACAAATTATGAAAGGCCATATCTTACAATAATGCATATATTAATAAATTGTGCATTTATTTACAAAGGATAGTGATAACTTCAATAATCTTACACAATATTCTCTTTGATAGTTCAAATTAGCTGGAAGTCAAAAATAAGATATGAAATACGATGTACTCATAACATAAACATTTAAATCAACATTACAAAGGTTGAAATTATGCATATTATATGGAATGCTTTATTGTAGTGGTTATCTTTTAGTGTATTATGTAAACTCCATTAAACACACCATAAGATTCATACAGAAATTTATATAGACACTGAGAAACAGCCAACAGTCCTGTGTACACTGACATGGGATTAGATGTTACGGTAAGTTTTGTTTTTATGAAACATAAAACAGTAGACATGAGTTTTAACAAAAACACGTGATACGGGGGAAACCACATTTGGTATTTAAATAAAGAGCATTTTTTGTGCACAGGCAACATCCATTGGTGACATCGGAGCCTCTGTGTTGGCACCTTGGTAAAGGGGCTGCTTTTGATGTCTCGGACGACCAGCCCGATTCGGACAATAAACAGCACACAGGCAAAGGCCAACAGGGCCGCTAGGAGGAAGGACAAATAGAACATGACTACTCACTAAATATCAAAGAGGAAACTTTTTATGTCAGAGAGAAATTGATTCCATAATAACAATATTAATAACCGTATTTCATCTGGTTTGAGTTATAGGGACTCTACTGCATCAATCATCAACTCACATTTCCAACCACATTTGATTTTTGTTGTTAAATGATCTTCAAGATAAAATTACAGAAACAATTCAGACAAACACATCTGAGATGTCAGTCTAAGTTCAGTGTTACGCTCACCTGTAAATATGTTATTCCGGCTGGGAGACACCACGTCATAGTCCTTGGTCAGACTGCCAATCAGAGCCAAGATAACCACGGGGTAGATGATAAGGAGATATCGTAGGTGCGTCTCTAGCACGAGGTTCGCCTATGGCTTACTCACTGGGGGCTTTGGGTGGGGATGCTGTAAAGCGCTTTGAGACAATGTAATGTTGTGATAATGCGCTATACAAAAATAAATTTGTTTGTTGTTTGTTTGTTCTCCAAGACCACCCTGCAGTAGGAAACATGATGGCAGGCCTCTCAAACTGCACACGGTCACACCAAAGTCCCCATGATGGCAGGCCTCTCAAGCTGGACACGGTCACACCAAAGTCCCCATGATGGTAGGCCTCTCAAGCTAGACACGGTCACACCAAAGTCCCCATCAAGAATGCCCCGAAACTAGCAAAGAGTGATACCTACTGTATTAATCTGTGTTAGTTCACATCCGGGAAAGTATATATATTGTGTGGCAACAAAATTAAATGCATGATAAAATAATGAATAAAATAAATAAATAAAATAATAAAAGAAAGATTTATATTGCGTCATGGAGGAAATGTGACAAATAGCATAGCTGACATTTATTAACAATTTTTAAAAATATAACACAAGGAGGAAGAGCCCCTTAAGGAAAGTAAAATACAAACAGCCTAAGATAAAAATGAAAACCGATCTAAAAAGGGAAAAATTGTGATTGTGAAATATCATAATGGATATAACTGAGCTTATATGAGACTTCCCAAGACCTCCTTAAGACCTCCTTTAATGAGTTTAGTAGCCCAATCAGGGCCAGCTGAGTTTCATTAACTGAAACGGCTTTAGTATCGGGACTTGAAAATCAATTGCCATGGTAACAATACAGTGTGCCCAAACTCAATTCCTTGCCATTGTTAAACATCCCACTGGAACACAGCATGAATTTAAATGTCAGGGATCGGGGGCTAAAGAAAGCAGGAACCCCCTAGTGGCCAGACACATATTCACAGCACGTCCCTTACCACAGGATGACCTCTACTAGGAGTTGGACCAGAGCCACAGTGGCTGCATCGTACTTAGACACGCCTGCGTTGTGCTGTAATGCGACAGTGAAGTTGAGCAGCGTGGCTACTGTAGTCCATGTCGCATATAAACCAATGCCATTCTGGACCTGCAAAATGCGATAACCACCTGCTGTGAAATCCAGTGAGGGTAAAAAAGCCAATGCAAGTCATGCCAAACAGACTTCATGCTAATTCATATGCCTGTCTGCCTGACCACCAGAGATGCTTTTTGTAATAAATAAGTGGATGGAAGTTAATGACTGCCACTAGAATAAAAAAAAAAGCGTGGATTGTACCTCCGTTTGCCCAAACGGATTTAACTTTCATCTCAAATTTATGTTGATAACTCCCATGAATAAACGTAGCAGATTGTGTGATTTTGTCAGCTTGCTGGTGCTGCGGGTTCATGGTGGGATAGGCGATACTAACCAGCACACGAACAAGCCAGAGGTCCGCTGGGTGCTGGAGGTGAAGCCAGGCCCCGTACAAATACAGGACATGGCAGGAAAAGAGAATCATCAGATAGCTGGTGAAAGCAATCAGTGCCAGGACTATTACTGCAGCAATCATCTGCCTTTGAGAGAAAAAATATATAAATACTACACATTATTCCAGGATTTCAACAGTGATCGTTCATTTATGTTATAGGATGTTAACTAGAATGTACATTGCCCGGCCAAAAAAAAAGTCGGCATTTGAATTTTTCATTGGACCACCTTTAGCTTTGATTATGGCGCACATTTGTCATGGCATTGTTTCCACAGGCTTAAGCAACATCTCACCCTTTATTTTAATCCATATTTGCATTAATTTCTCACCGGGATCCTGTATTGACAAGTGAGTTGAACCACTCCGTAAAGCCTCCTTCAGCACATCCCAAAGACTTTCAATGAAGTTAAGGTCACAACTCTGTGGTGAGCAAGTCATGCGTGAAAATGATTCCTCATGCTTCCTGAACCACTCTTTGACAATTCGAACCCAATGAATCTTGGCATTCTTGTCCTGGAATATGCCCATGCCAACAGGGAAGAAAAAAATCCATTGTTGATGGATGGAGGTGTAACCTGGCCATTCAGTAGATTCAGGTACTCAGCTGACTTCACTTTATTGCTGCATAATGTAGCTGAGCTGTAATAATGATCCAGTCATTGGCTTTTAAGTATTTGCTGATATAAATTCAAATGGCGACTTTTTTTTTTTTGCCCGGGTAGTGTATATCACAAATAACAGGAAGTTTCAAGATTCAAGAAGTTTATTTGTCACGTGCAGAGTGATACATGAACACCATGCAGTGAAATCTAGCCCCGAATCACTCCTGAGACTGTACGTTGGTTGATGGATAATTCAGAAGAAAAAAACACCTGTTTTGATTAGTCTGACAGTCGCAACATGCCTGCTGATATCGACAAGCATCTTTTCCTGACACATGGGACGCCACTTACTCTCTGTCCCAGAGGAACAGCCATGTGACGTTCAGACTCATGTTCAGCATACATGACAGGAAGAAGGCATACGGCAAGACTGCAGGACTACAGTACATCCAATCATAAGAAGTCCTAAGGGAAAAAATTCAATCACATTGCTCTTAATAGTTAGTAATAACTAAATAAAAATAACCAAGTGCACTAGTAATAACTAGTGACTAATATTATAAAATGTAAGACTATCTGCCCTACTGTTAAATTTTAATAATATTAATACAGTGAAATCTTGTAATGAGAGGCAGCTGAAAACCCACACACCTTCTGCAAAAACCAGTCAAGATGTAAATGAGCATTGCAGACAGCCAAGCGTAGATAACGCCCCAGATAGAAAAAGTCCATCCCGCCGGAGTAATTTCCGTGTCATATTGAGCCGACACGTTGCCTGTACTTTGTGAAAAGGGCCCTGCGGGAAATACAGGGAGATGCAAGATGTATTATCAGCAGCAAGGCAAAACTGTTTATCTGAACATATGATTATTGAAGCTTGGATTTAATCTGGAATCACTGAATTGCTTATAAGTTTTGTGTGTTGTTTGACAAGAGAACAAGAAAATGGTTTCAGTTTTCCAAAAGTAAATAGGCCTAATTGTTCTTGTCTTATTTCTCAGGATAGTTGCGTTTCCGGATGTGATGTCTCAACATGGAAAGTGACATATACTAGCTCTTCTGCTGCCAGAGCCAGCGAGGCCGTTAAATATTATAGTTACCAGAAAAAAAAGCACGGATGCCGCAATGACCATTATATGGAGAGGGCTGTGTTCTCCCATTATAATAACCTACAACAAAACAGAACAAAACTAAACACTAAGAAAATAAGACATGTTTTTCAAACAGCATAATTTAAACCAGATCAGTGAAGTCGGTTATTGTTCAACTTGTTAAAACCAGATTTATTCTCCAGAAATGTTCTTTAAAATTGCGGTTTTACCAATTGTAACTATTTTCTATGAAGTATTTATCAGTGACCATCACACTAAAAGCTATCTAGAGGTTTGCGTAATCTTCACAAAGACTTGCTTTTATCATGCTTTTAAATCGCGTATAGACATATAAACCTTACATCAGGGACGGATTACGGACCAGGCCAGCAGGGCCGCTGCTCAGGGTCCCTTGGGGTGCAGGGGGCCTGTGGGGCCCCTAGCCCAAAACAATTTGCAACGCTTATCAACAATGTATTTTCGTTTGTCTATTTTGTAGGGTCTACATTCTTTGATCCTCTGCCTACAAGGGCCCCTGACCCTATAGGGCCTCTGATGGAAACAAGGAGGGAGGGCGTTTGGCTGCCAAGGGCCCTTGAATTGTGGTGGTGGTGGTGGTGGTGGTGGTGGTGGGGGGGGGTCGGAGCTTTCAGGGGGCCCCCGGCCCTGCTATAGGAACTTTAAAGGGAAATGGGTGCATGGGAGCCTACTTTTAGAAGGCCCTCTTAGGCCCTCCTATTATGGTCCTGGCTTCTGGCTACCAGGGGGTCCTAGGGAGGATGGGGGCTTTGGGGGCTTTTAGAGGGCCCTCTGATTATGAGGGCCCTACTAGGAGGCCCTAGGGAGGAGGGTGTAGTGTACCTTTAGAGGGCCATCTGATTACAAGGGCCCCTACCATGGGGCCCCTGGCTTCTGGGGGGAGGGGAGGGAGGCGTGTTAACAGCCTTACAGAAGGCCCTCTGACTAGGGAGCGGTAGCATGGTGGGATGGAGGCGGTTAACCTGCCCGCTGAGTGGCCCCCAGACCAGTGTAGCAGTGTAAGAGTTTGACCAGTGTAATCACTCCCAGGGCTGTAGTGGAGGCTAAATGCAAGTAAACACGGTTTACCCACCTCTGTCTGGATTATTCAAACAAATAATGTTTGTTATGGTACGATCTGGTTGTGCTACGTTGCTACCTGTCTCTATAAACAGAGATGGGTAACCTGGTGCTAACATTAATGTGAGGTAATGGCATTAGGCTGTACTGATTATAATTTGAGATCCAACTTACTGTATCAACTTAAGCCACCTTCTTTTCACTTTTTCCGAGGTAAAAAGCGGCAAAAGATAGTTTTGTCAACATCATTCTGCTTTTACAACACGGTACGCTGCACTAGTTTGGACCCACAAGTGGCATGATGACGTAGCAACTAGCCATCCCAGACAATGCTGGCGTTTTTTGTTTTTTTGAGGGGGGGGGCCTCGCGAACGTTTTGCCCAGGGGCCCACACAACCCATAATCCGTCCCTGCCTTACATAATTGAAACAGCTATCTAGTGCATCATTGTTTGTTTACATATTTTACATAGTCACATATTTACGATTGGTTTATAGAGAGAGAACAGCAGAATGTCTTCTGCGTAAAAATTATCTTTAACAGCAAACATTCCTAATAAGTATGTGATGGTTTTCCTCTTACGGATGGTTCACAGTAGTTTAGAGTTAAGCGTCCAAAGTTTCTTTCATAACATAGCGGGTGGGAGGGGTTTTGGGGGACTACGTCACAGCCACTTTTACACGTAGTAAACATTTCATAACAGTCAGCTAGATCTCTAATATTTCACATTTATGCACTGATCCATGGGGGGAAAGACAGGATACACCTTGTAGATGAGATCAAAACAGAGGGCATGAAAATATTTTAGAATAGTTTAGTGTAGGTTTTTTGCAGTTTAAGTAAAGGCGTTCCCATAAAATGTGAAGTTGGCATGACTTAGATAGATAGATAGATAGATAGATAGATAGATAGATAGATCAGCGCTAAAATATAAGTCATAGTAACTTAACAACCGATGCCCTCTAGAGGATATTAATAGTATTCGGATATAGACACATAAAGGTCCCCAGTGAAAATTATTGCAAGGGGTCAGAGACTATACCTACACTTATATCTATAGCCAAAGGCAGCGACAGGGCAGGCAATGGCTTGGGGCCCCAAGCTCGGGGGGAGCCGATTACATAGTAGATTGCAATGACAAATCTGCTTTATTTGCATCTTCTGTTTTTCAAAAAAGTAAAAAATAAAGGTTTTGTGTGTATTAAATTCTCTTTTTTGATATTAATTTACACTTCACAGTAAAATAATGGTAATAAATGTTACCATGCCGGGGGAGGGGGAGTTGGGGGGCCCCATGGAGTTTTTGCCTGGGGCCCCAGAGTCTCTAGAATCGCCTCTGTCTATAGCATCTCTGTTTTTGCACTGGTGCATTTAGCATAGGTGTCAAGTCTCACGTTATTACCTATAGGACTCGTGTTTTTTTGTCTTTCCTGTTATTTTATGGATTGTGATGCACTTAAAGCAAACAGAGAAGTTTGCCTTAGTATCAGAAATCAGCTGCTGAGAAGGCTTATGTGAATATACATAGAAGTATTCAGTTCCCATACATCTCAAGATCAGTTTCCAGTAGGCTTGGGTGGTATATCGAATTTTTATGGTAACAATATATTTTCAAAACGAAATATAGGATGACACAATACCATTTATATCAATATACTTTTATTGTGCAGTAAAATTAGTTCTATATTGATTTTTTTTATAGAGACCTTACAACTGGGTTGTAAACAATGCCAGAGCTTCAGCCGTGATGTTGTACAGAATTCACAGCAAAAATCAAACCATTCATTTGGCGTCTCTTGGGGAAGCTGGTGGAGGCGTAAGGTGAAGAATCATTGTTACTCGGTTCATTTCGTTTTAAAACATTGTTTTAAAAATATCACAAATTTTCAATATTTGTTTTGCTTTCTTGAAGGTTAATAGCTCAAAATGAAGGCCTTTCCATTGCCAAATAAATTTTAGATTTGATATGGTTTTATGGTACGTCGTAGCTGTTTTTTTGACCCATGTAACGGAGATTGTCAGACGTCAGGAGCAGACGAGCTGGGAAGCAGGTGAGTGGAGCCAAGCTTACAGGTTAAGGGGGTTTATTTAGGGCAGTGTGGCGACAAGCACCAAACAGAACATGACATCACAGACACTACAATGACAGAACTGGGGAATACTGACTGAGACACGGACTAAAAACTGAAGACTAGCCAGAAATAACAGGACACAGGTGATCACAATCAGGGATTAACATGAGGTAACGAGGTGGGCGTGGCACACACGAGGATCGGACGGAGCTGGGCGTGACAGAGATATTGGTATAATTTTTGTCTGACTGAACAGTTATAGTTGTGTATTTGGAAACATGTAAGAAAGTCCTGTATCTTGATTTCGTTTTGACCACACCATTTTAATAAAAAGTGTTTGTGATATCTTACATGTGCTACAGCTTAAAGCACAATATTTAGTCCACTTCATAAAAAATACTGAGATATGAATCATGTATCAGTATTGTGCCTGAAAATGCAGAGATATGGTTTTTGCTCCATATCGCCCAGCCTTAGCACTTTGAAAATCAACCTTGAACCCTCCACCTACATACTTGCACTGTCATACCAGAAGATATACCACATTGCCCATTTTATATAACGTTTTGCATGTACTCTTTATTCTCTTTGTTATTGTATTATCCTATTGCTGTTCTACTATTGTAGCATTCTATTCTATTACTCTATTTTGAATTTGTTACACCGGCTCTACAAGACACTTCTGTGCCAATTCCTCTGGGTATAGGTACCCTGATTTTAGCTCTGACTAAAATAGTTCCTATGCTAAAAACCTACTGTTAAATCATACAGAGATACAAATAAATGACAAAAATAAACAAAATGATTCAAATGTTGACTGTGGGCCAAGTTTCTGTTAAAAGTCAGTGTCCTTCACTGTGTATGAGGCAAAGCGCTTGCGAAATTATTTGGGATAATCTGTCTGTCATGTTTGAATTTTCATTGAATAATCACATAAAATCTGAAGCTGGTAGACCTCAAATGAAGACAGGATAGGGTACAGGAAATATATTTAATTCAAGGTGCAAATGGTTTTATTAAATAAGGGGTTCTCATCTTAAAATTATTTGTAAAAGATTTTAATTATATCTTGTATAAAGTTCTAATAACATTTAACTTTAATCATCACTCACCAAAATTTCTTGTCCAAAATTTTGAAAAATTAAATTTAACAGCATTAACAGTCATTGATGATGTTGACAGCATAATTCTGTCTCTTTGTTGATATTATTCATTTACACTTCAAAGTAAAATAATGGTAATAAATGTTACCATGCTGGGGGAGGGGAAGTTGGGGGGCCCCATGGAGTTTTTGCCTGGGGCCCCAGAGTCTCTAGAATCGCCTCTGTCTATAGCATCTCTGTTTTTGCACTGGTGCCTTTAGCATAGGTGTCAAGTCTCACGTTATTACCTATAGGACTCATGTTTTTTTGTCTTTCCTGTTATTTTATGGATTGTGATGCACTTAAAGCAAACAGAGAAGTTTACCTTAGTATCAGAAATCACCTGCCGAGAAGGCTTATCTGAATATACATAGAAGTATTCGGTTCATATACGGCTCAAGATCAGTTTCCAGTAGGCCTGGGTGGTATATTGAATTTTTATGGTAACAATATATTTTCAAAACGAAATATAGGATGACACGATATCATTTATATCAATATACTTTTATTACTAATACTCGTTTATAATGTTGACAGCATAATTCTGTCCTGTCTTTGAATCAAACGCTACTGAGTGGCCAGCTATCTTCACAGAATTGTTTAATTCATTAATTTAATTCACAATTTGAAAAACCTGATTAGAGTGAACAAATTATTTATAACATTTAAAAAAATACATTTATAACAACATATAAATTATGTTGAGTCTTCTGAATTCAACTATACCCAC